AACATAAGTTTGAAAGCTTGAAATCAACCGTGGTGTGAGTATGTTTACACCATAGAACTTGGCAAATGTTAAAAATCAGGGTTCCCCCATTCCTGCCCCTGAAAGTTTACAGTTAAAAATTTACTAATTTATCACTGCTTTCTTCCATATTTTTCACCCTGAAATGTTAGGCATACTCTCTACTGGAATGTTAGACAGCTTGAACTTTCTAGAACATGGCCTTTCAGATATTGTTTCTTCTGTTTACAATATTTTTGGTCTTTCCTTCTTAACTATGCACACTTTTAATTATCCTTTAAGTCTCAACTTGAATATCACCCTCCCTGTGAATCCTTTCCTGACGACTCTAAGCAGAGAGACCTCCTTTCTTTCTGGTTATCATTGCACGTAACTGGGGTGATATTTAAAATTGAGTTTTGCTGTATTTAATAACCTCAGTTGTTTGTGTATTTACATAGTGTTTTTCCTCATCATATAGCAGACCCCTTTGTGTCAAGGACCCTGTCTGTCATCTTTGGATCCCCCTAACCTACTATAGTATCTGGCATACAGCAGGCACTCAACAATTGTTTCTTTAGTGAATAAACAGATGAGTAAATGAGAAGTTGAATAAGTAAACTTGGATGGAAGACAATATTCAGAATAGACAAAAGCTTGGAGAAAGGCTAAAATGCCTCCTTTTGAAGGGTATTTAATGCCAGACTTGAACTTCAGCTCATAGTAAATGGAGAAATCTCACAGAAATCTTTCTGACAAGGGAAGTGACCTGTAAGAAACCGTGTTTAGGATGGTTAGTCTGACAGTGGTGTTCAGAGTGGACTGAGAGAGAAGAGGAATCCACACAGGAGACTCTGGTCATTGGGATCAGAACCTCTGGTGGAAAGGTAGACTCAGAGTGGGGCTCAGCAGAGGTGCACCTACCAGTCACGGGGCTCCCAGGATGTGTGCAGAGTGAATGTGATAGTGAGGGGCCCAGAAATAATGGGGACAATTTGGTCTGCTTGCCCTGAAGCATAGAAAATGTAGGGACATATGATGACTCTCTTCAAATCTTTGACAACCACTCCCAGGAGAACAGGAATTAGCCAATTTATTTCTGTATTCTGAGTTGCCCAGAGGTCAGATCTAAGACAAATAGAAGGAAGACTTTTTTATCTATTAGACATGTCTAAAAATGGAACAAGCTGCCTTAAAAAAGTAGTGAGTTCCTTGTCACAGGCAATGATCAAGCAGGGCAATTGGTGAGGCTGTTATAAAGGGAATTCAGGAATGAGATCAGGTGAGCTTTCCAACACTTAAGATTCTGTTATTGTCTGCTGGGCTTTGGCCCCGTGAGTTGGATACGATAGTGTGACTAGCAGGGGCACTGCAGTGCAGCTGGGATTCCCAGACACAGAGTTGAGGAGAACACTCAAGGGCAGAACTACTGTTGGGGGTCCAAGCCCAGGGCTGTTTACACTAGGCCATAATCATCCCGGTGCAGAAAGGTGGCCACTCTGGGTTGAATAATCTCTGGGCCTTCCTGAAACCCAGAAGACGTGCACGGACTGTGAGAGAGGGTATCAGGAGGCCATAGAGAAAACACCCCACAGAATCTTTCCTTCCCCCTTTCTTAGCTTCAGAGGATCATTTTCCCATTGGCCCAACAATGGTAACGTCTTCAAATTCTGCCTTTTCACTCTTAAAGTCCTCCTGTCTTGCTATGTGTGTCCTTGATCACATGTCTCTTCTTCCCCTTCCGAGACCTTGCTCCAATACTCTTGACACCAATCTTTCCTTTTTCCTAGTCCCAAGCATTTACAATTATTTTCATCGTGAGACAAAAAAAAACAAAAAAAATCTCTAAAATGACTACCTAGACTTTCTTCATCACTGAGATTTTTAAAGCAGTGTTCCCCTCTCACTGCCCTTGACCTTAGCCACGTTCTTGCACCTTGACCCTTTCCTACAGTCCCACTTCAGCCTCAAAGTGAGGTTGAGGCAATGATGTGACCATCAGCAGAAAGAGGTTGAGATTTGGAGTCCAAAGACTTGGATTCCGTTTCTGGATTAGCCACTTACCATCTGCACTTCCCTATATCACCTTTGCTGTGAGTATTCGATGAGCTAAAGGATGAGGAAGATGTTTTCTCCCCTCAAACTGAAAAGCACTATGTAGATGTTAATGTTCCTAAAACTACTGCCCCAGAGATGACTAGTGACACCTTTGATCACCTGAACCAATGGCCTTTTCTCAGTTCTTAATATCGTAACTTCCTGGCCACATTTAATCTTATTGGCTGTGCCCTCTTTTGTGAAATTCACATGTCGCCATTTTGCTTCAGATCTCCATTTTTTTTTAATTAAAAGATTGCAGATATAGGTAATGTCCTTACAGCCTTCATCCATCTCTCCAAATTAGCATCCACTAATTTGAAGTGTGTATTATATCTATTGTGTTTTATGATTTTACTAAGGAAGCCTCTTTCTCTCATTGTCTTTGGATGGAAGCTGCCATGACCCTTGTACTCACGGGAGGGCTGAGCCATCTGCCAATGGCCAAGTGGAGCTGCTCTTAAATAAAATTATGGTTTTCTCTTATTTGTTACTAAGAACGTAGCATCTCCTTTCTAGATCCTTCCTTGGATTCTCCTTATTTCCCAACATCAACATTCTTACCGGTTCTCTTCCCTTCTCTTTCACAGGGGTCCAACGATCCCTTCTGGGGACATAACCAGATCAGACTTCTCTCCCAGACTCTGGTCTCAGGTTTATAACCCTGCTGGATTTCTTCTCGGGTTTTCCTGCCAGGATCTCAAACTCTTTACTATCGTCACGAGATAAATCGATACATCTTTGTAGAGCCTCTGACAAAGTGATTTGAAAAGGCCACACACTAAAAGATTATTGGCCAGCCCTGCAAAGGACTGCATTTATCATCAGGGACCATCTCCCAAATGCCAATAAGGGAGAACAATCCCTTTTATATAAACTTCATGTTGTAAATTGCTGCATCTGCATGCCAAGTAGAAGGTGGTAATATCTACTCCCTTACATGGCTGGGTATTGTTACAGCATTTTATGGGTGGATAACTCCCCAGTATTACCCATCTCTCTTGGTTCTAGATTCCTGGCTTTTGAAACTGTCAATGTCTAAACTCTATAAGCTAACCTCCTGGGTGCCTCCTGGTACTTCGTTGATGGGGTGGACCATGTGATCATCAAAAGAGTAATGAGACCAATTCTTATCAGATGTCTTTTCCCTACTGTGAACCAAAGGAAAACACTTATCTTGCCTATCTGGCCTGGAAATTCTGTTCTGAAAAATTCTGAGTCTCATCAAACTATAGAAATCTGCTCTTTATATCACATGTGATCTATTTGTGTTTTTCTCTCCCGGTCTCTGTAATTTATTTTTTATTAGAAGTTTAAATAGTTTTCTGTCCCTTTTCTCTATCAGACTGTCTTTCAGTGCGTGAGAGTAGTGACTCTGTATTTCTCATTTTTGTCCCCACAACAATATACTTTATCCACACACACACACATACACGACATTGCACTTGCTAAATAAAATAAAAAAATATCTAGGTTATTTTTAAATGGGATCAAGAAGGATCAGGTATGGTGACTTTGGCACTGAGTGGTGGGGTATACTGTCCGTATGTTACGTGGTGATTGTGTTTGAATGTAGTACCCTCATTCCCCAACCTTTAGCTCCAAAGAACTTCCTCTAGTCCATCACTCTGACTGCCTGACCTCTTAGCATCAAGCAGCCCCCATTCCCTTCCTGCCCTTCAGTATGGCCAGGTGACTGCCAGTGGTGTGCTAGGAGCAGCTCACGTAGGTTTGTGCGAATCCATTGTTTGCATCTCTTCCCAAGCCTGTATTCAGGGATATCATGTTGGCAGCTATAAATTGGCAGTGTGGGAGTATTTACACCATGGAAACTGGCAAACACTACAAATCAGGGCTTTCTTTTCCCCCAGAGAGCTGGCTGTAAAACATTTACCAGTACACCACTGTTGCCAACAGTATCCCTCTTTATCTCTGCACATGACTAGCTTCTTCTGGTCCATAAATTTCAGCTCAAATATCGTCTCTTCTGAGAGATATTTTTACCCTACGTTCCCCCACCCCCACCCTATTCCCTTCCTATTATATCCTCCTGTCTTTCCTTCAGAGGACTTATTTCAATCTGCAACTACCTGGTGCGTGTATTTTGAGTACTGTTTTGTTGTTCATCCTCCTCCCTAGAAACCTTGTCTTCTTTCCTTCCCTGCTGTAGTCTCAGGATCTGGTGCAGGCCCAGACACACAGTTGATGCTGCAGAAACATCTATGGGAAGAATAAATAAAAAGAATACGTCATTCCAACAGGTCAGGCATCAGAAATGCAAAGTGCAATGTTCCTATATTTGTGTGTCTCTCCCAGTATACTTTGAGTGTTCAGAGGCTGATTTTCATTGCATTTCCAGGACCTAGCACAGTGCCTGGAACATAGTAGATGATCATTAAAGTTGTAGAATGAAAGAATAGATAACATTAGGGACCACCCAATTCATATACATTTCCCTGTAACGCCCCGGAGGACTCTATTCCTTCACCCTCATCGGCAACATAAAAGCACCACTGCTTCCTTCTGAGAAAGCAAAACATCTAATGCAGAGTTCATCCTCCCCAGAGCTGCGGGAAAGACTGGGGTGGCATCAATTTATCTCATTCAACCTGTATTTTTCTTCTCTGGCTGGGCCAGAGCAATTCATTATGTCACCCTTAAGCAAGTCACCAAATGGGAATGAGAGAGGCCATGGCCCCCGTCTCTTCCAGTGGGCTGCCGCAGAGATAGCTTTCCTTGCATGGATGAGCAGCTGTAAGTCACCTTTGCCCCAGCCTCCTGGAGAAGGCAAAAGAAGTTTTCTAAATGTTTTCCTGCCACACAGATCACTGAATTATGCATGAGGCCAAACCTAGGGAGCAGCGAATTTTTGTGGGATGGAGGGTGGAGGTTCATTCAGAAAGGGAAATCAAACCTTCTTGCCTCTTCCTTGTGATAGGTTCCCTTGATTGATAACCAACGTTATATTATCCTATATTGTTAGTATATTATTGGTGGCTTTGGCAGCAATATAATCCTGGTGCTGAGTGAGGGTAATTCTTTCTTTCTAGTCAATTGTATTTACTTGACTCAGTCCAGGCAGCTTGGAGATGGAGCCTGGCTGATCTAACTCAAATTAATTAGATCTACTACCTCCCTGGATGTTGACAAACAGTATGAAAGAAAGATGAATATTCATGATTTCCCCCCAAACCAGGGGAGGTCACAAGCCTTGGGGAGTTTACAAGAAACTTCTGGTGATAGAGCTAAAGGAGCCCCATGGTATCCATGCTCACTGTAGGGCTGAACCATCTATTGAAGGCAAGTGGAGCTGCTCCACCGACCAAAGTAGAGATGGTCGTCTTCATCTGGTGAGCACTGCACTCTCAGATGGATTTGCTCCCTGTTCCCATTCCTCTTTTCCTGCAGGCAGTCATGCTTCTGGACCAGAGGACTCCAGCCATCTCACAACGCAGAAGTGCCTCTGAAACCTCAAATTATACAATCAGGAGTCGGGGAAGGGATGGATCTGGAGTCTCTGGATATGGATCTTGGGTAGAAAACAAAATCTCTAAACGGAGCAGAGAAAGCCACTGAGGTTAGCTGCGTGTATCTTAGGAAATCCCAACAACTTACAAGGAAGGGCTGAGCCACGTCAGGACATCCCAGCCAAGGCTTTCCATCGTTCAGGGAAGCATCATCTTGCAATGAGAGATTCTTTTTCTGGAAACTCGCAACCATTCCCCTCACATCCTGCATAAGGGAATGAAATATGTTGAAATTGAATTGAAATATATTGAAATTTGTATTGAAATAAAAAATATGTATTTGGATTGAGTTCTGAATTGGACATTTTTAAAAGCATTGTGACATTGGTTACATGGGTTAATCTCTCTGAACCTCACATGTTTCCATCAGATTCAGTGGGAACCATTGGAAATACCCCTACATTCCTCACAGAGTTTTGTCAGAGGCAAATGAAAAGAGATGATTCTTATAGAAGATATTCGTATACATTCTATTGGATGTTTGATCTGACAGTACCTTTCCCTTCTTCCAGAAAGTGTCCCTATCCCCATCTTCTTGGAAATGTTCCTTCCACAAGACGAACCATGTGGATTGAGTAAAAGCTGCTATGTTGTTAATTCCCGTGTGAATATCTTTCCAAAGCGAGGCCAGTCATGGCTACCTACTCTCATAGCTGATTGGGACAGCTCCAAGGTGGGCATCTGAACTCCAATGAGGTATATGGACCCCTTCCCTAAGGGTTTTGATCTTGGTCTAAGAAAGAGTGTGAAAGAATTCTCTCTGAGGTAGAATTATTAAATGTGAGGCCTGAGGGTTTGGGGTAGCTCCAATTCTTTCTCATACATGGGGGAAACGGATCTGCTGAGAGAGGAAATGAAGTTGAATTCAATGAACAGGCAGATATGAAATACAGAAAGAGTTATGGTGATATATCTGGTTTGGGTTTTCCTGTGGGTCCAAATGAATCTCTTCTTTTTCTACAGCTTGAAAGGATATTATTGTAAGAGCATTCCAACACATTCCTCTTTTTGCCTAAGCCAGCTTTAGTTCTATTTCTGTCTCTTACGACCAAAGAAGCTCAACAGAGAGGTAGCCATTCATTATTCTGGTTCTCCGCTCTGAGGGGAGCTTGGATCTCCCTGATCTTTCTATCTATAGGCTGCCTTCTCCAAGGCCATCACCCTCTCCATGTCCTTCATTCATGCCACAAACAATTTATCAACTTTTCTCATGTGCCAGGCACCCTCTTGAGCCTCTAGGAAGACATGTGGATGCTATCCTGAGATTGCTAACCCAAGCACCATGCCTCAGAGGACTTGGTTAGAAAGCCAAGTCCAAGTATTTACTCTAACGTGCACAATGATTTATTGTCTTTTCTTTCTTTTTTTTTTTTCTTTTGCAGTTTTTGGCTGGGGCTGGGTTTGAACCCACCACCTCCAGCACATGGGGCCAGAGCCCTACTCCTTTGAGCCACAGGCGCTGCCCAATCCTTTTTGAGTTTACAAAAACCAATCCTATGCATTTACATAGGATTCTTTATATCCTTTGTGGAAAGAGGTAGGTTAGGTTAAAACTCACTAAAAATTGCTGAGCACCTACTGCTAGTGGGACCTATTGGGGGGGGTGGAACACGTGCCCTTGCCCCTGACATGCACACACTCTTGTTGAGCAAACGGGGCAAACCTAGAGAACACATCAGAAAAATCAAAGCTGGAAAATTAGGGGGCACATATCGTAAGTGTTTCAAACAATCAGAAAAGATAAGTCTTCGACTGACTAGGGTGTTCAGTGCAGAATTAATCCAAGGTGTAATCTGTTGGAATTGTTTTGTCAGACATGCACAGTATTGAATTTTTAAAATATCAGTGCTCATTATTTGAAAATCAGGAGGTTGCATACTTTTAAATAACAGATTTTTGGTTTCTGTTAAATGAACGTGTAGGTTTGACCACCGTTCCCTCTTGGCAGTAACCAGCTGGAACTGAGTAACTGCTACCTCCTTAATGCTGGGCAGCCATGCTCCTTTTGCTACCTGGCTTTATGGGTTTGGATCCTCCAGACTGGTTCCCAAAGGCATTTGAATTTGCTACCTGAGGCCCAAGTTGGAGCTCAAAAGGCCCCAGTCCCCCCAGAAGCTGGAAGGAGAGACATTAGTCCCAACACACATTTAAGGGTGATGCCCACCTTGACAAGGTCCCAATTCAGCATTTTTCACACTGTCATTGACCAAGATACCCGATGTCAGCAATTACAGGCTGCGTTCACCCACCAGGCTACAGGTGAACTGAAGTCAGGGGCAGGTTTCCCTGTAGGAACATAGAAAGGGAGGGATCCTTTATCAAGTCATCAGCTACCAAACACCTGCCACTCAGAGCCTCAGACTTTCTTCAGAGCCTCTTCCTTCTTCTTTTTAACATCTACGTTTTTGCACTTTGTTGCATTTGAATGTAGATGATACAGAATGAAATTCCTTTGGCGGTTGTGTGAGCGGGAGTGTGCAAAGTATTTATGAATCCTAAATGAAGCTGGCTGCAGAGTCAAGGAGCTCCAGCAGAGCGCCGGCGTGTGCGCCCGCCAGAGTCTGATCTCTTACATGGGAAGCTGCGTTTGATATCTCATTTGTTGGCTGTGTTCCTCGCAAAGCCACGCGCTGTTTAACCCTCTTTGCCATGGCAAAGAAAACGCTGCAGAAGCTCGCGGGGCAAGAGAAAGGCGATCCGGTGAAAAACGCCCTGGGATGGTCAGACGAGCAGGCTCTAGAGGCGTGTGGGAGGTGCTGCCACCCTCTGGCCGGGCGTAGCACCACATGCTCCCGGACCACTCCCCTGCAGGGACAGCCCTGCCCTTCAATCATCCTGAAGTCCCAAGGATTGCAAGGGAGTTGGGACCGGTTTGGCTTTTAGTTGGGTTCTTAGATAAACCCATGCTTTCTCCGTTTCTGGTTTCATAAGAAACTTCTCCTGAACAAACCAAGACCGCCCCCCCCCTCCAACTGTGGCCTAGGAGAGACACAGCATGTGGCCGTGGCTGAATCCGCCTCTCCCTGCTAGATATTCAGCCCACGCATGACAAAGTCTTTGGCAAAATGCTAGCAATCAGAAACCGGCTCTTCATAGACATAAAAGAGTCGGTACATAGGTCTCCCCAATAATGATAGTCTACATGCATTAGCATATATTTTCTTGAGAAATGAACTACCAGAATATGTCCCTAAAAGCAATTCATTCTATTTACAGCTTTTCTGAAGCCCCTGAGAGGGAATCATCTTGGAGCACTGCAGACACTACACTGAAAATAGTGAAAAACATTCAATTTGGAAACAATTTTACCTCGATTTATCTCCCCCCTCCTTTGTGAGTCAGCCCACGGCTTCAGTTCCTTCTCCTAACTGAAGGGGGTCCCCGATGTGCCTCTTCCTGGGGTCACAGAGGCAGGGATGATGTTGTTTCCTCACAGCGTGGCCAGAGTGGGCAAGAAGGACACCAGATCTGTCCTCCTGGTGGGAACACCTCATTCCCAGAACCGAGGGAGGCAAAGAACAGAGATTGCATTGCGTACAACAACAACACCATTGTTAGGACATACAGATTATTCTCAGGAGGTAACTACAGCTCTTTAAAATAGTGACAATGTGAATGTCATGTCCTATTACCCCATCCTCTGGGCTAATAATAAGATTCTGTAACCATGTCAACAGCAAGAGAAAGGGAGGGAGAAAGTATCCCTTTGATTACATAAAATGCCCAGGTACCTCGTACAGCCTTGTAAATCACCCAGCTGGTGAGCACGTGTAGCCTGGGAAAGGCACCAGGAGAGGGCGTGCCTACAGTCAGGGCTAGATAATCAGTAAATGCCTCCTGTGTGCCTACAACCACGCTCTGAACAGGAAACAAACAAGACAAATGTTACAAATGCCATTTCTGCTTCTGAGAGATGTTAAGGATCGAGACGGAGATAGGCTACCCCAAGTATGGGTTGTAAAGACACCGAATTTAGACCCGGAATGCAACAGTTGGGATTCTCCCTCTGCCTTAGCTGTGTGCCCTTGGTGGGATGGTCTCTCTGAGCCTCAGGTCCCTCCCCTGCAAAAGGTGGGTAATAATACCTAGTCCTACATGCCCTACAAGCTTCTTGTGAGGATGGAATAAAAAATGCAGTGGTTTCCAAATCAATAGTACAATCCTTTTGAAAGCAAAAAAGTTGTGCGTGAAACTGTAAGATAAAACCCAGATCAGAGCTGAGCTGCTGTGGTTGGAGGGGGTGGGGGCAAAAGGCTCACCCACCTGCTCAGCCTTTCCTTGTCCCCAGGGTGGCCCCTGAAGCACCCATGAGTAGCCTATAGCTCTGAGCAGCATAGTATGAAGACTAATGAGGAATTTCTTTGAAATAATATATTGATGTTTTTCTTAATATTATTTTATTAGTAATAATCCTAATTGGGCATTAATGGAGGTAATTGCAGAATTGGGGAGAAGGGAGGGATCAATGTAGGCTTCAGGATGTAAATGAGCAGTAGGACATGGGCAGAGAGGAGTGGTGAGAGGATCCCAGCTGCGGGAGTGAGCACCAGCGAAGGCATGAGATGAGAACGCGTGCTCTGTAGGGACAGGGAAGAACAGACCATTCAGAGCAGAGCACCTGTGCATAGTGGGGGTGGGCATGCAGGAGCAGGTGTGGTTAAGGCTGCCATCTTTGAAGCAGAATTGACTATGGGATATGTTGGGACTTATAGGGCAGGTGAGCCTGGGTGAGAACGGAGGATGTGTGATTCTAGTTGGGCTAATTCATTGGCTTGAATCCCACCTGTTCAGTGGGGTCAAATTTCCCTCATCAAAGACCATTTACTCTTCTGACAATGATCCTTGACTTTGGACTCTGACTGTGGTTCCTAATTGTTATCTCACAGCTCTCCCTGTGTCCTCTCCTCTTTCCCTAACTGATGTATATGGAGGCATTAGTCCCCCAGAAAGTCTGTTTACTCAGGATTTAAAGTCTACCTAGATCCCCACAGAGCATGATTGCTGAGGCACCCCTGTAGGCTGTGTGCCTGTGGGGAAGGCTGTCCTGGCCCTGCCTCTGCTGCTGTTATCTCTTCAGCCCCCAAGGATGACTGACCTTCCCTGCCTGTCTCAAAGCACCTTGTTGTCCTGTCCTCTTTGAAATGCCTGACAGCAGCAAATGCTCGGGTCTAAAAGCAAAATAATGAAATCAAATGAAAGCTCCCCAATTTCTCAACTGTTTGTCCTTGGTCCGTTGCGGTGCATGGTATGCATTATTCAGAGAGGAGCAGCTGCATTACCTGAAGCAGAAATTCTGTTTTTCCAGGCACCAATCTAAAGTTAATGCTGGAGTGGAGCCGATAGCTCTGTCCAGGAGCTTGTGGGTGCCTGGGGGCAGAGGAAGAAAGCCTAGCTTTTTCCCTAGACCTGAGGAGGTCATCAGCGTAACTGATGTCTGCTGCCCAGTCATGAGACAGGTCATCTCAGTGAGCCCATTCTGGGAGAAGGGAAGTCCTGACAGGTAAGGGCAGGCACAAAGGAAGCCAGCAGGAGAGATGAAGGAAAAAGCATGCAGAGTGTGTGAATGGCACAGAAGACCCCCAGAGATGTGGCATGTACTGCAAATCATTCCCCACTGAATGCACCAGATCCATGAAGATAATAGGACACAGACTAAGTGAGAATGTTATGGAAATGCGCGTGGGTGCATGTGGAGTGAGGAGGAAGGGGCCGGAGTCCACTGTGGTGGATTGCATAGCTACTCCAGATACTCCCTCCCTCCTATAAGAGCATTATGCATCCTTGTGTTTTCCCTCTGACTTGCTGTGGGCTTCAGAAAATAGAGTACATCCTACACTCTCAGCCCCCGTCCCTGTGTACCATCCTCCCCCTTGTCAGGATGAACTATGTGACTTCCTTGGACCAATGAAATGAGAGCCAGTTCAGAAGCTGCACAAAGCACGGCTCGTTCAGCCAGTTCTCTCGCTCAGGTCCTTCTATTGCCAAATCAGCAGGCCCCAAATTAGGGGCTGCCCTTTCAGCCTAAGTCCCTGAGTGAGAAGGCTCGTGGAGCACACCCACAGCTGCCAACATACGCTGTGAGCAAGAAATAAATGCTTGTGGATACAAGCCACTAAGATTTTAGGGGTTGTTTGTTACCATAGCAAAGCTGGCTAATATAGTTAATGTCAATCAATGATGAGGAAATTAATCACGTCTGCCTTGAGTTAAGCTTTTTTAAACTTGATTTGTTTATTTAATTGATTGTTGTCATCTTCACTTGGGGTGAATAACATTGATAAATAAGAGGGGTTGTTTGCTTTAATGAATCCACAGAAGAGTGTTGTTGATTTTTATAGAATCCATGTATTAGGATTTGACAAGTCCTATGTCTGGGCTTCTAGCTGGGTTTCCCTTCATTAGCAGTTGACGAGCTCTAAATGTGGGGTAGACTTGTCCATTCTCTGCCCTCAGTCTGTGAAGAACACACTCCCACCAGCTTTCCCCTGGACTCCTACCTACTCTACACGGACAGTTTTCTTTCAACTCTGATTCAGTGGGTATTAACTAAGCTCTCACTATGTGGTAGGCCCTGGAGATGAATGTCCATTATCTCATTTGGGTTCTCCCCCCCCACAAGACTTTAAAAATAGATATTTTGTTTAGACTATGATAGGAAAATACCATAGAATAGGTAGCTTATAGACAACATAAATTTATTTCTCATGGTTCTGGAGGCTGGGAAGTCCAAGATCAAGATAGATACAGTGTCTGGTAAGGGCTTACTTCCCGGTTCAAAAATGGTACCCTCTCAATATAGCCTCACGTGGTAGAAGGGGCTACCTGCCTCTCCAGGGTCTCTGTTACCAGGGCACTCTATCCCACCATGAGGGTTCTACCTTTGTAATTTAATCACCTTCCCAAAGGACTGTCACCTTGGGAGTTAGGATTTCAACATATGACCTTTGAAGGGACACCTATGTTCAGACCGTAGCAATTGTTATATGAAGAAATCAAGGGGCCAGAGTATTTGCCAAGGGCACAGATCTGTTAAGGGACATCTCAAGATTTTAACCTAAGTTTCTTCATTCTTATTACTACACCAAGCCACATGGATTGAAGGTTTTTGTCAGCTTGTCATCTAGGATTTCATTAGCCAAGGGACCAGGTACATGGATTCTTGGGCTGGTGGAAGGAAGGTGGGGTAGAAGACAAGACCCTTTACACTTT